CCCATGCCATGTGCACTAATGCACCCCCATACCCTCATGGATGCTGACTTTTGAACTGTGTGCTAATAACAAGCCGGATGGTCTTTTGTCTGGAGGACTCAATGTCCATAATGTCCAAAAAGAAATAAAAATTTGGTTCATCGGACCACAGAATGCTTTTTCACTTTACCTCAGTCCATCTTAAATGAGCTTGGGTCCAGAGAAGGCAGTGGCGTTTCTGGATCTTCTTCATACATGTTTTCTTCTTTGTGTGGTAGTTTTAACTTGCATTTGTGGATGCAGTGATGAACTGTGTTCACAGACGGTGCTTTTTGGAAGTGTTTCTGAGCCCATGCAGTGATTTACACTGCAGAATCATGTCTGTCTTTAATGCAGTGCCCCCTGAGGGCCCCAAGATCACGGCTATCCAATGTTGGTTGTCCCTTGCATACAGAGATTTCTCTGGATTCTCTGAATCTTTTAATGATATTATGTACTGCAAGTGATGAAATCCTCATGTTCTCTGCTATTTTATATTAAGATGCATTGTTCTTGAATTGTTGCACTGTTTGCTTGTGCAGTCTTTCACAGAGTGGTGAAGCCCTCCTCATCTTTACTTCTGAAAAACTCAGCCTCTTTGAGATGCTCTTTTTAAACCCAATCGTGTTGCTAATCTGTTGCCAGTTAAACACCAGGTGTTTACACAACTTTGCCAGTCTTTTGTTCCTCTGTTCCCACTTCTTTTAAAAAATGTTTTTTTAATTTCTCTGTTTCAACATTTGATATGTTGTCTTTATGCGGTTTTAAATTTAATGTAGTGTTTAAATGGTTTGCACATCATTGTATTTTGTTTTTATTTACGTTTTGCACAGCATCCCAACTTTTTGGAAACAGGGTTGTGTGTAAGAAGCTTGTTGAAGCTATTCGACTGACCAAAGATCCAGATACTGTGTCAGCATCAAATAGTTCCCGTGCAGAAGTCACTTCATTTCCAGTCAAAACAGTGATTACGTACATGTTAATCATTTTCAAGGGACATTTCAGAGACTTTCAGAGAAACTAAGTTGATAAAAAACAAGTTTCCAAAACTGGAATTCAGAAATGCTAAAAAGTTATAGAGAAGATGTGACTCATAACAAACTTACGAGTCCTGGTAGACCACCAAAACTGTCAGATTAACAATATACTACAGAGTCTTTGAAAGAGAGGGGAAAATCAAGTTCCACTCTTGCTTAGGAGCTGAAAAACTCCACAGGCAGCTGAGCACTATGGTCTGAAAGGATGTGTAGATGTCAAGAAACCATTCCTAATGAGACAAAAAAAGAAAAAAACATGATAAACCAACAAGCTGCTGTTCTAGTTGTTGAGGATTCTGTGTAATTTTCTGTTTAACGTTTCTGTTAAACAATCAGCCCTAAGGCTTGCATTAGTCTCTCACAACAGATGTGCTCTTCAACCTACATGTTGAGAAATAGTAGTAAATTGTTTTTATTTCTTTCTGAAAGGGGTGCCTCTAATTCCTGACTGAACATTATTCTGCCTGCACATTATTTGTTAGAGAACTTCTGCCTTCAAAGGCTACTGGAATAATTTTATAACTGGATAAATAAAACAAAATGGAAGAAAGCCTAGTAAAAGCAGTATGAATTGTACATTGTGACAGTTGAGCACAAAAGACTGCAGCTACTCTTAACATAGGAAACTATAAATGGATCATTGCCTTGCTTCATTATTCAACATGTCACTTAACACGTCGCAGACCATGAACTGAGAAAATGATACTAAGCAGGTATAACGGGGGAAAAATCCCTCAGATCAGAACCTGGAAGCATGTCACATCTTTTCTCTGTGTTTAGGTGCTTTTGCAGTGTTTTGATCTTGTCAGAAAGAGAGTTATTACTGCAGTTGATCATAATCACGTTCTCTGGGATTCCTTTGCAGATTCTACCACTTGGGGAATTGCAAGAATGTCTTACAGCATTATTGCAGTGCATTTGAGAGAGACCTCAGTTTATGTAATCTTATATCCTATAAGATATTGTTCTGGTTGTGTTAGTTGGTGTGCAGTAGAGCTGCACAATATGTCGTTTGTTTATTATTTTCCTTTGCAATTTTAATGTCACAGAAGGCTACTGCGCGCAAATGTGCCCTCAAGCAAATCACTGTATTGTATTTTGCTGTGTACAATGAGCATCCTAACAAATCGCAAAGTTTTTTTTTATGGGAGTTTGGCTCTATGAAGGTGTTCACATCAAACAGAAAATTCATCCAACTGATCCAAGAAATGATCCAACAACCATAAATAATAAAAATAACAAAATAATACATGCCATTTATTTTTACCATTTCACAACCACCTGCCTTACCGGTTGTCAGTGTATGCTTAAGAGAAGGTAAAGTAAATAAAACAAAAAGATAATTAAAGGTTTATTCTCTAGTGAAGCACAGACTCTTCTTGAACCTATCGATATCCATGGTTCTAGCAAATTGATCAATCATCTGCTGTTTGCTATAGCACATAGAGATGTTAATGTTATTTTACCATTGATATCATATTATTGGCTGTCATGAGCCATCAGTCATATTCACAAGCATCATTTAGTATTTAGAGTATTCATTCGGAAGATCCAGTCAGTATTTTGACTTTAGTCCTGTGCGGGTAACAAAACCCTTTTTGGGTGACCATGCTGAAAATAACCATAGAAAAATGCTAAACTAGCTGGGGGTGTGGTATTCTTTTCTTTCGCTTTAGTGTTTTTTTTTTGTTTATTTCTGTAAAGAACACCCATAGCAATAATAATAATAAGTATTATTATTATTATTATTATTGTTGTTGTTGTTGTTGTTGTTATTGTTATTATTATTATTATTATTATTATTATTATTATTATTATTATAGCAACAGTTTTCCATCGCTAAAGGAGCCAGTGGCTCTTAAAAGAAGAAACCTAGGCATCAGTAGCTTTTTCTGTTCTTTTTATTTGTGTCAAATAATAATTATGCAAACCAGTAAGCTTTTCAACACTCACCTGAGGTCAGCTCTGCCTTCTGCCATGCCTAATTCTTGTCCTTCTTTTTCTGTTTTTGTATCCCTATGAATGACTTTTGGAACTAGTGTTTGTTCTAACTTTTAAAACTGTGTCATAAAGAAGTGTGGACTTTACTCAGTCTGTGTCACTGATCATCAGAATGTCAGTGTCACTTTGCCACCCAGTGTAGTTTAGACTCCTTTTTCCTCTGCTTGTATTTAACACAGGGTACAGGATCAAACTGTGCAAGTGATGGTCCCTCTGTGCTGCTCCCTCCTAAATTCTCCAAGGTTGAGACATTTAGTGAACTGTGCACTTTTGATTTTATTCTTTTCTTAGGCTAAAAAGTCACTTTCACACTGATCTTCTGAAATTGCAGAACAAGTATGATCTCAACTAAATGTAAAATATTCTGGAAATCTGAGCAATAAGTCTCTTTACCCAGCAAGACTCTTTTGAGCAAAATTCAGTCTGTCTGTACAGCACTGATGTTACACCCATTCTTCAGCAAGATGTCTTGATACCATTTCAGTACTGTGTCAATTTCATGTTTGCCAAAGCTGGTTATTTCATCTGGCCGTGAATCATGACAGAAAACGGAGAAGCAACAAATTATTTCTGACCCTTTGAGTCTTCTTGATTTATTAAATAAATAAATATCTGAATCTATAATATAAATCTCATTTACTCCTCATATTTCCAAACTGTTTTCAGGTTTCTTAACTGTAGCATCCATAGTTTTCAGTATACAATTGAAAGTTTTCTTTACAGCTTGGAAGACTTGAGCCTTTGAGCTGGATATGCTGCAACGTAAAGCCCATGTAGATACTATTTGCTGCCTTTGCTTGTCTTTTTGCAGTCTCTCTATCTGATGTTTGTGTCGTCTTTCTGCACCACATTTTAAGCAACTGAATCCAGACCAGTGTGCTGTATAAATTCCTGCTGCTTTCCATTCCTCAGTGATCTGTCCTTCATCCCCTTTACAGTCACAATAGCTGTTGATAGCTGCCACTTCACGTGCATTTTTTTCGTTCGACTCTCGCCATGTTTTTTCACAGTCTCTTTTTTTGAAATTATTCATTCCTTTAAGAAATCCATTTTCTCAGTTATATCTTGGCTTGCTTTCAAATAGAATTCGCAATACATGGTCTGCTTTATGTTATCATTCCTGAGCCACACGAATTCCTGAATCCAGGAAGTATATCATCATGTGTGTCTTCCATGAGTTCACTGATGCTAAAACTCAGACTGGGGTTGAGCAGATGATCTCTTAAGCTCTGACAGAGACTGTGTGAAAAAGTTTTCACTTCATCTTTTTTTTACGCGTCAACATTCATTGCAGAAAGCTTAGCTTGACTCATTAGCTTTAGTTGTCACATTTTGCCCCTCTGGTCAAAATCCTTGGAGCATGCAGCTGTTTATGATTGATGGACACGCGATTGGACGCTACAGACATATAGTTATAAATCATATATCAGTTACATTTTAAGATGTAAAACGATTAAGGAAAAATAATAAAGAAAGAAAAAAGTAGTAATAAACGCTGTTTTGTCTGATGGCTGAAACGTGACACTGTGAGGATGTCCTAAAACTTACACCATATTATAAGTGACATTTTGCACAAGCATTATATGCTCCTACCGCAGTGGCAAACAGTGACCTGTCCTCCCAGCAGCTAGCTCAACAGTCCCACTTCTAGAACAATCTCATCTATGTTTGGTACAATAAATGTGGTAATAACACAGGACAGCAATTCACCCAGCATGTTTAAAAGTTAAAGTGTGCTCATGATTGGGAGTATTAGTGTCTTTCTGTGGTTTGCGTGTAATAAATCATTAAATTAATGTTTTTAACCCAGTGGCAAATTGGGTTTAGTGTCACTGGGGGCTCTTACTGTGGTAACTTAGTTAACTGGCACCGGGCGCAGGCCTAATTTGCTTCAAATCAAATGCATTTGTTGAGCTCTGTGTTGTGAATGTGTTTCATTTGCAGTGGAGGGACTGGAAAAAGCTTCTCTGGCCAACTGTGATGTGGTAGTCGGGGGCTCCTCTCAGCTGAAAGGGAAGGGAAAACTGTCCTCTCTAGGCAAAATCTTCAAACCCTGGAAGTGGCGGAAGAAAAGAACAAGTGATAAGTTCCAGGACCTATCCAAAGGTAAAAACTGGCCTGCTTCTCCTCACTGTGTCTGCCTGTAAAAGCTATCTAAGCTCATGGCTATCCAGTTACTTGAATAAATCTAATTTGAAAAAATGTCAGTTTTGCTGAAATAAGTGAAGTTTTTTTGGCTGTTGTTTCAGAGTGAAGTACAGAATCATCACTGTGTGCCTCAGCTTTGCTGTTTCTTAAGTGATGTCACACAATCTAACACCTCCATTACCCATGTTATATAGCCCAATGTGGCAGTCAGGTGGTGTTGACTTTCTTGTGTATGTGATTTGCAATGTACATGGATCATAAAATATACTGCAGCGTGCTGTGGCCTTCCACAGGCCTGTAATTACAATCAGCCAGGTGTTACAATAATAACCAGGGCCGGACAACCATGGCTTCAGTGCAGTAATTAACCATTTACTTGCATCTGCCTTTCTAGTACTAGAGAGGAAAATTTCCACCAGGCAGACGCGAGAAGAACTCATCAGGAAGGGTGTCCTTATTCCAGATCAAGGTGACATTTTTGGTGAACAAAATGTTTTTAATGTTATACAATTAAACTGTTAACATTATGTAACTGGGTTGAATGTGTTCCTTGTGTTGATGTTGCCTGGTTTACGTCCAGAGGTCACCCTCAACACGTTTTTCTTATGTAGACCAGAGGGCAAGGAACTCATTCATTTGGTTGGTTGAAACTGTAAATGAAATGTTTGTTGGGAAATACTGTCATTATGTAAGCAGAAACCAACTCAGAACCCTAATAATGAAAGCAAAAGTGCATTAAGTACTACATACAAGCTAAGTTGCTTTGTGTTTCTTAAATACTGACAAATATATTAAAATATTATATGAAAACTCCTAGTTTATCTGTTTTTTGCACCATTTGTCAGCTGCTGTTTACATTGAATTAACATTTCATGATGAATGGACCAACAGTAATGGCCCAAATTACCATGTATAGTAAGAAAATCTCATTAGATTAAAGCTACATAAAACTATAAGATTTTTTTTGCTAAAATTTTAAAAAGGGTCATTAGGAGAAAAGGAGGGGGAAAACTGGTGTCTGTGCGCTGAATCACATCACCCTGTAAAGCCAGAAATAATCATTTTAATTATAAAGTCAGAAGCTCGGATTTCCTCTTAGAATGCTCTTTCAACACGCTTGCAGTCATCAGATTCATCCACTCAGGGAAGGGATTTGTATGCAATTACACATTTCCACCAGAGAGGTCTCCAAATCCCCAAAACGTACATAATGTTGCTTTAGCAGGTTTTTAATAGTTTTTAAAGAATGTTATTTTCTTTCTACTACAGAGTTACCATTTCTAAGATAAAAGGCTTTATTAAGACAGTGACAATATATTTATTTATGTGGTTCAGGCTGGAGGTAAATGTTTTGTTTGCTACTCTTCAGAAGACCAGGTGAACACTGAGACTTTGAATGGGCATGCAGTTTCCAGTGGAGTCACAGAAGAGGTGAAAGTGGACATCGAGTCTCCAGACACCCCCACTGAGGAGAAGACAGAACTAGCTCCAGATACTGATGAGACAGAAGGTAACACATTTTTAGACTGCTTATGTGTGTGTGTGTGTGTGTGGTGGGTCTGTGTCTTGCAGATAAACTGTCTTTGCTTCAAGCAGTGTTGGCTTATTGCCTTACACAAATTATACATTATCATTTAGCAGCAAATCATGCTCAATATAATCAGAGAATTTAGCCTTTTGGTGTTTGTGCTTTTTGTCGTCCGTTTCATATGCCTTGTTTTCAGACTGGTGGAGTTTGTGCACTGTTGGAGCAGAATGATCAGTGGTAGGACACAAAGTATTGAAGGGCTCATATCATAAATTTTTTTTGTATTTTACTTGTATTTTCCCCCAAGGGCCACTTATGTTTGTGTGGCTTCATGTATCTAAAACATTTGTAATTAATTTTTCCATGACCGTTTTCCAACTTCTCTTTCCCTTAAAATTAAACTGGTTGTTTTTGTTACTCTTCCTTTAAGACTGTATATGTATGTGAGCTCTGTTCTGATTGGCTACCATATAATGTGCCATTCAAAAAGCAGTTCATGCTGAAACACTCAGTATAACTTAGCATGAATGGGTGGGGCTAAACTGCTGTAGGCTAAATAGGTGCATATATGTAAAGGAGTTGTTTTCCATGACCTCACAGAAAGAGGTAATTCAAAATTGACTGCTTTTGCAGCTTAGTTTATCTATATGGACTGTATGGACTGGGGAGTGAATGGTATGTTTTGAAACTTTAACAGTGTTTCTATGTTACATCAGACAAATGAAAAGAAATATGACATTGTTTTTCAATTTAATCTCCCTATTTGTAGCATATGGTTGATTACCATGGACTGTAAATTTACCTTAAACTTTTCCTGTACTTAGTAAATAAACAAACACAGTTGACAGCTCTTGCCCTATCGGCTACTGTTGTAAATGTTTCAAGTCAGCCATTTATTTGTTCTGTTCTAAGTAAAGGGAATTGATTGTCTGTGGTAATCAGCTGTACGCTACAGATGTGACAGATTTAGGTTAGGTTGAAAAACGCTGGAGTATTCCTGTAAGTGAAAACCTTGTTTTTGATGAATTTAATCAAAGTTTTGTAAGATTAAAACTGTCTCACAAACTGAATAAAATCCACAGTCCTCTGTAGCGCAGAATCCATTCATGGAAAATAGGTGTTCCCACACACAACATTGAGCTTTTTTGCAGAGGAGCTTTTTGATCGCTCTGTTATGGCTCAGCAAATGGTCTTGAGTAGAGTACATTGCCGGTTGCTGCTGCAGTTACCACTGAGTGATATACCATTTGCTAAAACAATTTGACATGCTTAGAATTGAGACCTTCCACTTTTCTTTTTTCCCCTTGTACAGTTGATCCTCCCTCAGCAATCACTGATCATTTTTTGAACTGTTCTCTCATTTAAAGGAATATTTAAGTCATAATAAAAGTGGAAGCAAATAGCCTCAAATAAGCACTGTGGATGTGACAGAATGCTAAGTGGCTGGTACTCATATCGAACTACATTAGTATATTTAGTTGAGCCATTCCTTTAAAGGGCTTTTCACAGATTTTTTACAAATTTCTGCATAATTCAGTGATTGAGATGTAAACAAAGTCACTCAGAGTGGTTTGGTGTGAAGTAGTTCACTGTAGAGAAACTTACAGACTCAGATTTATTTATAGAGGTGATGTTGGGAACCAAGCAATGTCTGATATATATATAATGTCTGTTTTATTTAATATCCAAAACCAACAGTGATCCTACTTATGGGTTTTATATGTAATCCTGATAATGTAAAAACAATGCAAAATCTGCAGAAAAAAAGTTTTGTTTGGGGACTGATTTGCCTTACAGCACCTTGCATGCATTGGTCCACCATGAATTGGTTTAAAATATGTTTTTGTCCAAAAGCTTATCTCAAACCTGTCGTACAACAATATCTCAGGCATCAGGCAGCTATGTGTAATTTCATGTAAAAACTGTCTGTGAGGGAGCTTTATGAGGCTTTAAACTCTTCAGACATCTGGTTCCTATCACCACCACTGTGAACAATTCTGATTGGTAAGGTAAGTTTCTCTAGAACAGAGCATTTCACATCGAAGTCATTCATAGTGTTTTGATGTAAGATGCTTGATTCAAGACAACCTGCCAAAATTACAAATACATTGCGTCAATCATACAACATTCTTTTACAGTAGTTTTGAGAAGGTTTTGGCCTAAAGCATAGACACACACATTTTCTAAACCGCTTATCCTTCTGGGTCTCGGGGCTAAAAAGTGTTTTTGTGTGTGTGTGTGTGTGTGTGTATGTGTATGTGTGTATATATATATATATACACACACACACACACACACACACACACACACACACACACACACACACACATACATATATATATAATTTTTATTTATTTTTTTTTAATACATACTTGGTGAAGTGGTACATGCAGGACAACTACCGAAAGAAAAAAGAAAATTATTTTTCCACTGTTTTTGCCATTATTTTACTATCAACATTTATATATAAGAAGACTTGTATGTTCACTGTTTTTGGATGCTAAATAAAATGTGTATATTTGCATTGTAGACATCACAATCCCTGTTTCCTGTCACTGACACTGTAAATAAATCTGAGTCTAAGTTTTTCTAGAATGGAGCATTTCACATAAAAACATCCTGAATGACTATATTTACATCTATTGCAACGATTGAGCTCTGCAGAACCCTCAAAAATGAAGTTCCATTTTAATGAGAGGAAGTGGAGTGTTCATGAAGTCTGTGTTTAATTTGGTTTATGCTCTGTTTGTGTGTATGCCTTGATTGTCCAGAACACTTTGCACAGGCAGACCCTTTTAGGCTCTTGATAACATTTGGCAGCAGACTTGCAAGAAAGTGTCATGCTGATGAAAAGCCTCCCTCTTAAAACTTGAATGTTATTTGTTTTTATCCACTTTGAGCCTGTTAAGTTCATCAAGCAGTACTTGCCAGCTGCGCTGACTCACCCAGATTTGTGAGGCCTTATTGCAGTTGTCACCATTACTGGTCCTTCCCAAGCCCTGTGCCTGTATGTCTGTCTGAGGCTCTGCCAGTTTGCAGTTCCTAATGCATTAGAGCACTGTTCCCCCCTCTGTGCTTCTGTAGAAAAGAAAGAAAACGTGCACAGCCCACAGGCCAGCGTGGCTGGAGCTCAGAGGACCACTTCTAAAAAACAACAGCCCCTGTCCACCAAGCCCTCAGGTGGGGCTGCTGGTCCAGGGGGCAGGAAGGATGGCAAGACAGGGGGTAAAAAGTTGCCAAAAGGGGCCAGTAAACAGGCCACTGCTCCTCCACCTAAACAAACCTCACGAAACACAACCCGTGGGAATGGTGAGTATCTGGGCTTGTAATGCTAAAGGAGCGTCGTCGTGTTTGCATGAGTGGTGGATGCACTGTGCATGGAGACGTCCTGTTTATTTGTATGTATGTAGTAATCACCAGCGATGTACCGTTAAGTTGCATCAACGGGTACTGTCTGATGACAATGAACCTTATTTTAAAGTCCCAGAGAAACTAAATTCATCACTGCTTTCTAATTAGGTTCATTTCGGCCTTGCGGGAACACATGTTTGTGAAAAGTAGACCCAATTAATATGTTTGCATTTACTTTTCCAGAATTAAACTGAGCAGTTCTAATCTTTGGTAAAGCTTTTGTAAGCTTTATTTTCGCCAGTCATAATGATGATGTAGCTTTTATCAAAACCTATGTGTTCAATGCGAGTCTGAATTCCTTGGGACGTAAATCATAAAATGTGCATCATTTTAGAGATTAGATTCTTACCCACTGTAGCAAACTTTTCTTTTATTATTGGTCTCATAAAATACAATAACTCACATTTAAAAACATGCAAAACAATAAAGCAATTCAGTAGTCATGATGCAACATATGGTGCAGAATCATTTAAGAGAAGAAAGTAAAAAGTATGAATATGTCTGAACAATAATGAATGAAAACACAAGCACAAGACAACTTTTACTTTCCTTTCAGATTTCGATGTTGATGATATTGAAAGCTTAAGTAACGGCCGATGCTGAGCTCAAACCAATATTTCTTCTTTAAAAACTACTGAGCTTCGTAATGAGCTGATTTTAGTTAAAGCATCTGCAGTAGTGCTCTCGGCTCAGTCGAGTTCAAACCCTCTACTACCCCACAGGATGAAACACACAGCTAACATCACATCATACAATATGAGTGCATGCTATTTCAGAATAGATTTGTTGCACAATTCGATCAGTTTCATTCTTTCATTCCCCGCCGATATCCGGTCCAGCATTTTCTGCTAATTTCAGCCAATTACTGACACCTGGTATCGGGTCAGTGCCGTCTCTAAACAAAACACATCTTCAGAGTTATTAAACCTTTGTTGCAGTTGCAGTTATTGCAACACATTGAAAAAAGCAGAGAAGTTCAGTTGAAAGCGACCAGGTTGTAGTCCTAGTAAGTTTACAAAAAAACGTCCTTGACATTCAAATACTTGAATTCCAATCTGACTGTTCTCATTAAGGTTCTAGGCTCTAGGACCCCACATGGTAGTGACTCAGATCTGAATTGAAAGGATCAGATTTGCGTGTCCACACAGCTCTGAAAAAAAAATCTGTGTCAAATTAGGGCAGAAAATCGCATTTGTGCCACTTTCAGTCTGGTTATTTGAACATGGCCTAATTATGTCCATATGGTGGGTGGGGTTATCTCAGCAGTTTGATCAGCTGAAGAGTTTTTCTAAAAGGGAAATGAGGAAATACACACTGCATCGTGAGCAGAGTGCATCTATCACAACTTCTCCATTTTCACATTTGAGCCTTATTATTTGCTTGGACAAGTCTGTGTACAGTGCTTTATGTGTGATATTGCTGCGCAAGCAGGTTTGTGAACGGCCACATCTGCTGACGCTTAGGGGTGCATGTGCTGGCTTGAGTGCATGACAAGTCTGGTGTTTTGCTGGTGAAGCTGTGGGACTCTCCACTGTTGCCTTTCTGTCTGATACACAGTAATAAACCAGAATATGACCTGTGTGGTTCATGTTTTGCATGCTGTTTATTCAGCCATGTAATCTGCATGTGTGCATTTTGTGAACAGGGAGGATACCTCTGTATCTGCTGCTGTCCTTTCAAACTTTTTGTTCGTTGTTGTGAAGAAACGTCTTTTATTTCCTCAAAATCTAAATGTTCATCTTTGTTTGCATTGTTTACATTTGCATTTGTACTGTGTATGTAGTTCTAAATCTCTTTGAAACATAGTGTCTCTAACAGAGATTTCTAAAATCTGAAAGAGAATGTTTGTGTTGTCATTCACAAATTATAAATATATATTATTTACTGAGACCTGTATCATTTGTTGTGGAGTCACCAGAATCGCATTGCCTGTAGAGATGAGACTAAGACAGAGACTAAATAAGACACCAGAAAGGATCATCTCTGAAGATACATAAAGACAGAGTGGGAAGGCTCTTGAACAAGCCCCAAACACTTAACCGTGATTTATTTGAAAATCAAATACCACATTTCTTTTTATAGTTTATTAAAACAAGTGTGTTGTTAAAACACAGTAAATCTGTGCTTTATGTGTGTAATATATTAATATTAAGACATTGCTTTATTTGGTTTTCTTGACTTTAAGAAGCTGTAATTTTTCTTTTGACATGTCATATGTACTGACTTTTTCCACCATTGCTACTATTATTTGCTCTTACATAGTGAACTCTTCTGCTCAGATTTGCAGGAATTTCATTCCATTCCGTCTTTCTTTACAGCTAAAGCTCCCAATCCTAAGAAAACTGCAGGCACGTCTAAAAGTTCGTCTCAGGCTTCTGGACAGGCTTCAACATCCTGTGCGAAGAACCTCAAAGATGGTGTCTCAGAACTGACTCCAGCAGAGACCAAGCATGGCAAGAAAACCAACCAGTCCAGATCTCCCCAACCTCGTTCCAAAGCCCCACCTGAAACAGACAAGACCCGAGGAAGCTCTTCCACGAAAGACCAAAAGAATGAGACTGAGGCCTCAAGTGCGGAAGAGAATGCAGTTAAGGAGACGCCTCAGGTTTGTGAAGATGCTAATAAGCAGCAAGATTCTTCTGCAGAGCCAGAGAAAATTCAGCCCCACATGAACAAAGCCACACAGGAGACGTCTTTCACAGAGTCTTCGAATGAACTTCCCTCAAATGCTGCAGCAGAGCCTCCGAGCACAGAGAAGGAAGCTGAGGGGAAGAGTGCAGCAGATGGTGACCAACAGTGAGTATACTTTAACCGTCCTGCTCGATGGTTATCTTTTGGTTATCTTCAAACACTGGAGCAACACAGTAAAAAATAGTTCCAGTTACTTTTGCTTTGTGTGAGGTCTTCTGGTATCTATTGTGATCAGGCAGAGCCAATTACCACAAATTCTTCCCTCTGCAAAATTTGTTCCATCTCTGAAAGAACGAAATATATAGACTTGATTTTAAAGCAGCACTGTGTGGGATTTTTTTACTGAGTCAGGAGGAAAAAAACTAAATGCTAAAATATGGTGTGCATGTGCTGCTGCAGGTCACCCTGTAAAGCTGAAAATAATCATGTAAAAGTCAGAGGTGTCAGATAAATGTTTACTGAGGGAATTCACTGCCTGCCCATTTTTTTTTTTCTTTTTATGAGTGTAGTTTGTGTCAAGACGTCCTCTGTTTCACTTTAAATATCGGACAGAGGTTAGGTTAAAAATGCTGGACTGTTGATTTAAGGTGCCTAACAGATATTTCATCTTTATTGACTATGTTTCTGATGAAAAACACATGCTAACGTTTGTATTGCCGAACATATTGGCGAAATCTGTTTAGATATTGCAAATTAGTGATTATTAACACTATTGTGTCACAGAATGTTGTATTTCAGATAATAATCTCTGCTGATGTATATGAAAGTTAATACTGTGTCCATGTACCTCAGCTTGACGTTTTGAGTTGGCTCATTGTGTCATGTAATGAGGGTGGTGGTGGTGGATTACAGTGATATAACTTCCTATGGTGTAACTCTGGGAGAAAGGGTGTTCGTAATGAAAGACCTACCTTGTCTTCCTGTGCACACGTGACCTGTGCCACATCACTGGTCTGTGAGTGTAAGACCACTTGCTACACAGGCCTCTGAACTTGTGCCTGTCATTGTTGATGAAAAAGCTTTGTGTATTGCTAAAGGGGATTGTTGAATATCAATATTGATGTAGCATTAAACATCATAGATGATGCAAATTGTGAGATTAGGTCGTTGTAACAACATGATTGAAGGTCAGAGGTTTTTCTGGTTACAGGTTGTCTCCATATTTGCTGTTGGTGTTGAGAGGCTACATTAAATCACTCTCTTTGTTATTGATGTGCTGCAGGACTGAAGGAAGCCGGAAGCCACAGGGGGTCAATGTGGAAAACCCGGGAGTGACCGTTATTCCTGACAATGTTCGAGAGACTCAGGCCAGTGATTCAGACTCAGACGGGCCTGTGCCCTACAGAGATGAGGAAGAGGAGGAGGAAGAGGATGAGTATACCTCCAGTATGTGTTTTCTTGGGCGGCGTAACATTTGGAAAGAAGGGGAAATGCAGACAACATTGAATTACAGTCTTTGTCAAAAGGGCAAGGTGGGGTGGGTAATATGATTTCTTTTTCATGAAAATTACATCACAAGTTTTCTTGTTAGGATTGTCAGTACCTAAAGAACACAGCCCAGCTGCATATTTCAATAGGATGAGATTTAGAAGAGGCTCTGAAATGGCAGAGCTGCCTAAGGTTTAGCCATCCCCACAGTAGCAGGTGCTCAAGAGAGCATAATTGGCCATTTTATTGGATATTGTGATGTGCTGTATGTGAATTGAATTAAAACATTGTACTTACAGTTTTTTGGTAGCATTTTTTTAAATGTGACATATTGGGGTTGTTTCAACGTATCAAACCTCATCTTATCAAGCCTTAACTTGTCAAACCTCAAACAAAACAGTGGTATGTATCATGGATAGTTACAATATCTTCACATATCATGATATTACAGTTTCGTCAAATTACCCACCGCTGCTGTACAGTTGTTTAACGCTTTGACTTTGTGTCATTGTTAGAGATACCAGGTATCGATACTGAGCTGATATCAGCAGAAAATGCTGGATCAGCCATTGAAGGGGAAAAAAGAAAGAATGACTCTGATTCAATCCTGTAACAAATCTGTCCTGAAATAGCACACACACTGTGTGATGTGATGTTGTTAGCTATGTAGTTCTTCCTGTGTGGTAGTAGAGTGTTGAAGTAGTTTGAGATGCTGTTAAGTGCTCATCTTCAAGTAAAAATAGTTCAAAAGTTCAACTTTTAAATGAAAAAATATTGGATTAATATTTGCTGATACATGATACATCAGTATTAGGAAAGCAAAAGTGGTATTGTGCCTAGTTGATGCCTTCCTTATATGAAGAAAATATGTATATACAGTACAAAAAATAACAGAATTACAGTTAAAATGTACTTTAGTTTATTTTCTAGCCTTTTTCAATTATTTTTAAAAAGATTTATAAATTTTTTGCAGAAACAAATGCCTTGAGAAAATGTGGATGATCATGCATGCTTGAACATTTGCTTGCTAGCTGTTTAGCTTAAATTTTAAACATCAGTTCCAGATCTTGGAAGCAAAACATCATTGCATTTTTAATCCTATTTATAGTTTCGTGTTATTCACAAGGTTTCTTTTTCCTGGCATCAGCCTTCTGGCATCTCCTCTTATTTATTTAAATAGAGAATGCAATGCAGAGAAATATGCTTTTAGCATTGATCTATGCAGAGGTTTTCGTAAGTAAAACATACTGTATTTAGTTAAGTGTAATTATTTTTTGGCATGTAGATTGTTCTGTTGATTTGACTTTGCCTCTGTGCTGTGTGGAAAACATTCCTCAAAGCCTGTACTAGCCTTCATTTTACTAGTAACTATGTTCTCTCTTTTTTCACTCCTCTCTCTCTTATTTTACCCGCACCCTCATTTTCTGACATTTTAATGGTGGCAGAATGCAAGTACCTAAAAGAGATTAGAATGAATATTTGTTTCCACAGGTTCTCTTGCCAGCAAAATCCGCCGCAGAGACACACTTGCCATCAAACTCGGCAATAGGCCCAGCAAGAAGGAGCTGGAGGAGAAAAATATCCTTCCAAGAACGTCGGAGACAGAGAGACAGGAACTGCGACAACAGATCGGCTGCAAACTAGTGAGGTGAGGCTGCCTCAGCACCTGAAGGATGGTTCTGTTTTTAGAGTGATTGTGTATCAAATGTTTTAAAATAAAAAATAATAAAAATGGAATTAGCTGAAGAATAACAAACCATGCATAGCATTTTGAAACACCTTATTGGAAAATTATGACCACTCACAGATGAAGAAAATAACATTAACAGCAGCGCATGTCAAGGTAAGCAAACACTTGGTTCTCATAGTCGACGTGTTGGATATAGGAGAAACAAGCAGGTGTGAAGACCTAGTCAACTTGCACATGGGTTAAATCGGTGTGCCCAGACGACTGGATCAGAGCATCTCTATAACGGCAAGGCTCATGAGGTTCTTCCGGTCAGCAATGGTGCGTACCTGCCGTCAGTGGTCTGAGGAGTTGTGCACCCAAGGCTTATCAATATGTGAGAGCAGCAAAGGCAATCCCATCTGATCCAAACCAAAAGAAGAACTTCTGTGGTCACAACACACAGTGCATTGCACCCTGCTCATACGGGTCTGCGGTTACACAGCCCAGTCAGAGTGCCCATGCTAACCCCTGTACACCGTCAAAAACACAGTAATAGGCATGTGAGCATCGGCACTGGATCTTGGAGCGATGGAAGAAGATGTCTGTTCTGAAACGGTGACGCCAGGATGCACTGTGGGAATAAAACAAGCTGGTGGAGGGAGTGTGATGTTCTGGGCAGTGTTCTGCCATCTACCTAAAACATTGTTGCAAATGTTGCACCTCTTCATAGCAATAATGTTCCCCACTGGCGGCGGCCTCTTTCAGCCATGCACATTGTTTGGGAATGATTTGAGGAACATGACGAAGAGTTCAAGATGTTGTCCTGGCCTTCAAATTTCCCAGGTTTCAGTCTGATCGAGCGTCTGTGGGATGTGGTGGAACAAGTCTGTTCTGATGCGACTCCACTTCATGACATACAGTACTTAAAGGATCTGCAAGTCTTGGTGCCAGATACGGCAGGGCACCTTCGAGGTCTTATAGAGTCCATGCCTGCGCAGGTTGGAGCTGTTTTGACACACAGAGGACATTGGGCCTCAATGTCTTCCTAAGTTTTTTTTTTTTTTTTTTTCTAATTTTTTTTCTTGAGAAAGGTTCTAAGAAAAAGTCTGTGTTCTGTAAACATGTAAATTGTGACTGCTGAATATCTTCTGAAACTTATAATGAGGCTTTACTGTAACCTGTGGCATCAGTTTGTATCAGTGCCTGAATCACAAAAAGAACAGGATGTGCATTTACCATGTTAAACTGATGCATTTGGCTATTCCTAATTGGAGCTTATAATATCACTCTTGTTGTGTTTTTCATCCTTGTAGTTGTAGAACATTTCCTTTGTAACTTTTCTTTTAGTGCTCAGTGTTTATGGGGTCACTGTCTTGCCAGTACTCTTTGAGAGATTTGTTGTTAGCACTCTGATTGGCTTTTTGGCTCGTCTTCCATCTACAGACGGCTGAGTCAGAGACCCACGACTGAAGAGCTGGAGCAGAGAAACATTCTGAAACGTGAGTAAACACTTGTTTATCCTGTACTGACAAGGAGATGATCACATTTGCATAGCCCCTGGAATCTAAGTAAGGCTTTAATGTTTGCTCTCACTTAGCCTCGCCTCTAGCCTTTGAGGCTGCTGAATAAATAAATAAATTTGTTTTGGTGTGATGTAGCAGATAGGAGTTAGCTTTAAGCTGTATTGAATGATGCCCTATGAAGCAGGCACAGATTGTTCCTAATTTTGCTGGTTGTAGATCGTTTCTCTAGTCTAGCTTTGGGTGTTTTCATCAGAACCACCAACGTGGAAGACTAAAGGCTAGCACACCTTGATACATGTGATGCTTTGCAGTGCATCTCTCAGAATTACCACCATATACCAAGTGCCTACTTATGCTTGGAGGAGAAAACTCATGGCTTGCCTGTGCTACGTGAAAGGCCAGTAAGTTGGTATTTCCAATTTTGGTTCTTGAAGACAGCAGGAGGCATAAACAGATTGACTGTGCACATACAGGCTGTGTAGAACATCTGAAGAGGTCTGACTAATACCAATTTCACATATTCCAGATTTAGAGTACCAAGAAAAGTGAAATGTTTGATTAGCTGAAATGTAGTATCAAAATGATTGTGTTTTCTGAGCACTGAAGATTGAGGAAGATTGAACAAGCTGGTGGATGGTTAATGCAGGGTGACTGAGGCAGAAACAGTGTGTCTTTGTGCTCTTGACCACTCAAATAGCCTGTGCACTCAGTGTGTGTAAGCCCGAGACTGAGAACAAGGTTCATATTCACTTAACAGAATGTCGGCCAGTCACTGACTGTCTGGTTTCCCACTTATTTTCTATTGTTCCTTTAAAACTGTTTTTCAGCATTTCATCAAATTCAGCATTTTTGTTATTGCAGTGTCTTATGCCCTATTCGGATGGGATTGGTTTTACAAGAGGAGGTGGGGTATTGTGTTTTATTATTTACAGGTATTTCTCTGTGATTTTAGTTTCGTCTGAGAGCACCATGTCCGTCATGTTTACCAACTGCACACTCCTGTGTCCGTAAAGATTCCGGCATCTTTTACCTTCTATAAAACCATAGAAGTAATGTCAGGTTATATTAATCCTGTGTGAATTGACATGTAGGTAAAAATGCTATGATGTACTGTGGAAAAGTACAGAATTTTTTTCACAGAAGAGTTTTAAGTATTACTTTAAGTAAGAGGCACTTAAAGAAGCATTTACTTCTGTTCTCTGTGGCTAAAGACAAGCTAAGATGTACTGTGCTACTTCAAGTGTCCTACCTTTTAACTTGGACCTTTAAAAGATGTGTAAGACACAAAAAGTATTTGATTTTGTGCTGTGATGTTGACCATTGGCTGTGTATTCCTAAGCTAATAACAATTCTAATGACACTGCATTTATAGCCTAGCAAGATAGATGGTTAGGGTAAATGAAATAAGGCCTAAATTAAATGTTTTACATTGTTTTCTATTTGATCCTGGAAAAAAGGCAGTAGAGGTAAACATTAAAGACGTTCTCTGGTACGCTGGCGTTATCCCACCTCCCCATGGAAAACAAATCCTGTTTGAAGAGGGCCATGTCAGAGATCAGGAATTAAGCATTTACAGGCTGCCACACTACTACAAGAGGTAGTTTTCAGCTAAGGAATGTGAATCAGGTTTATTAGTCATTTTTGTTATGTGTTTTGTGTGAGCTACACGGCATCATTTCTTTTGAATTAGCTAAAATTAAAAAATCAGAATGAATGGTTAATTTAATTAATTTCCTGTAAGAGTGACATAGACGTCATGCATCTTGTACAATGTGAATCATTCATTTTCTCTCATGTCGCTGCAGAGAAGAATGAGGAGGAGGAGCACGAGGCCAAGCAAGAAATTAAAAGGCGGCTTTCCCGAAAGGTATGGACCTCCACTAACTGCATCTCCTTCAACTTTTATTTTGAAGTTTTCCACAGTTTAGACTATTAGACTATTAGACTATAAGAATCCTCATTATGTTCTGCACATTAACCTCTGTTTGTCATACCCTGCAGTTTCTCACTCTCCTAACTTTCTAACATACTTATTCGTTTCATAGATTTTGTAGTTGCTGAATTATAAATCTTAATAAATAGCTGAAGAATAAACCTGGAGTTTACAGGGTTAACCCAAGAGGTATTTTTAAGTATTTTTCTTTACAGTCTTATACTGTCTGACTTGAGCACAGAATCCCCAAGCATGATATCATCTCCAGCAGAAAAAGAATTTGTGGTGCACTGCACCCTCTGGTGGATGAAAAGTTAAATGATGTAAAGTGTGCTACGTTTTTATTAACAAACAATATGATTTGAATTTCACAAACAGCATAAAATGGTTTAAATGCAGTATATCAAAGTCCAGTATATTCTTATTTAAATAAGCTTTGATATTAATATCTTAGTTTTTGGTGTACCTTTCTGTTATGAAATCTAAAAGGAATGGTTAATGAAAAAATCAATTTCACTCACGTTTCTCATTTTCATTTTCTTTGGTTAATATAACAGAAGTTTAAAAGAAAAGATTTTGGGTGGAATAGACGTCCAATACATTTTAGCCACATTAGCCTCAAAGATCTAGTGCAAAACTAAAAGAGCAAACACGTCTAACTGGTGGGCTATTTTTGGGGTAAAAGGAAATTTGTTTCAATTTAATTTATTAGAACTATTAGAACTATAATTAGAACTGTATTGGTGTGAGTTTAGTGTGTTTTTGAGATGGATACAGGGTTGTTTGAGTTAACTGTGTTAACTGGATCCTGCAAGAAACAGAATTGGAGGAATGGTAGAATGTTTCAAAAGATTACAAGTAATATAACGTTTTTCTTTCTGCAGCTGAGTGTCCGGCCCACAGTCGCCGAGTTGGTGGCCAGGCGGATCTTGCGTTTCAATGAGTATGTGGAGGTGACTGAGGCGAAAGATTATGATCGTCGTGCTGACAAACCCTGGACCAGGCTGACGCCCGCTGACAAAGTAGGCCATTTTCCTCTTCACCTCTGTTCCTTTATGCACTAATCATGGAGTGGAGTGCTGGTGAATGGAGGCTTGAGAACCTGTCATTACACATTGGTTTAAGAAAAAGCAGCAGGGAGCACAGGAGTCTCTTGACAGTGATGAAAAACATTGTGCTCAGGTCCAGACTGAGGAGACGAACCACTCACTCTGGGCGTATTTACATTCTCTTTTAATATTAATTGGCTAGGGTACATTTATAATTCCTCTTAAATCTAATTAGAAAACAATTGAGGTAAGAGCCAGAAATGTTGTAAAACACTCAATACACGCACAAACTTTGACTATTAAAAAGCAATATTAAAAACCCTTCAGACTTTTACAAGAAGAAAAGTACAAACATAGCTAAGCACTGCTTTAAATTACCATCAGTGTAAATTTTTAGGTTAATACAAACAGTTAGGTTAATCACTAGGATATTAATTATGCTCCAGATGAAACAAATATTAATCGTTATGTTGGCTGGAAACAATAGCCTACTGATAACAACCTTCACTGCTTGCCAGAGGAACAGAATTTAATTGTAATGATTGTTAATGTTAAATGTGATTATTTATTGAACATTAGTGTATTTTATCATGTTGTATTTTGTCACAGTTTTATAAATGTTTACAAATGTCCTGTCAAACCTCAACAAGAGCAAAGTCTCTATAATGCATGGCCTATGATGGTTTATTGCTTTATCGTATAATGTTTTGTGTACATGGAGTCCTAATTTTTACAGTTTAGTTTCATTTTATTGCTATTTTTTTTCTTTCTGTCATATGTAGACCAGTATACAGGAAAGTATCATTAGGGCTGATCTGTAGTCACAGGATCATCACTCTTATTCCAGGTGTTGATTTCTCTTAAGATTAAGGTGCCACCTACTGGCCACTGCACCCAGTATTACAGATTTTTAAGTGAAAATAAGATTTACCTTTTCTTTTCATTTAATAAAAAACATTATGTTAATTGTGGTTAGTCATATACAAAATGTTGAAACTAAATCCTAAAACATTTAAAACATGATCTAGATAGACTTTGCCGTCTATCTGGATGGTTTAAACTTTGCTGAAGACAGTGCTCTTCTGAAAGAACAATGCAAGTCCTCATGTTGATCTTTCTTTCTCACAGGCTGCTATACGCAAGGAACTTAATGAGTTTAAAAGCAAAGAGATGGAAGTTCATGAAGAGAGTAAACAGTTTACCAGGTAAGTCAGCTGCCAAATAGACCTGATAAATCTGCTAATAACAACAGTATAGTGCAATTAGTCTTGCATCAGTATACAATGCGTTTAGGCCAGCGTATATGTAGTATATGATTCATTGCACTTATTTGTTTTGTTTGGATTTGTATTTCATATAATATCTACCTTTGTTTTTAATAAGAGGTAGATGCCAATAAGGGGAGCTTGTTAGCTTCCCCCTTTGTTTTCCCATAAATTTTAGTTAGGTCTGTTTTCCCAGCTTCCCGCTGAGAATGGTGCTAAAATAGAGTCTGCTCCTTATGTGCCTTGGCAGGTTCCATCGGCCCTGAGGCGGTCTCCTTCGTGAGTTTTCTGGACCGCTGCCCGCGCTGGGCTCTCTCTTCCTGTCCCTCCACTACGCTTCCTGCTGCGGGGCCAACAGTTGGGCTCCTGTTGCACATCGGCTGTCCTCTGGCGCTGGCAGCGCTCCGGCTGGCCTGTCTCTAGCCATCGCTGTCAACTGCCCAGGGGACTGGAGCACAGCTGAACTGCAGAGACACAAAGAGAGAGACTGCTGGACATGAACAAATGTGAACGCAGACAGGTGCCTTGGTCTGTCCTGGGATTTTTATTTTTTTTTTAAGTTTGATGTTTTTTTTGTTATTTTTTGCACACACTAAGGACAAGACTTGTACATTTTTTGCAATTTACCACGGCCATCAAGGAAGATTCGCATTATGCCTCACGCATACAATATAAGGGACAAACAGTGACTTCTCCTTGACAAGCCATTGTTGCATATCTAAATCGGCAGTGTGCTGAGGATATTTGTTTTGTATTTGTAACTGTTTTTAAAGCAGTATTACAGTGTGGAGTCCCATAGTAGCTCTGAATATTCATGCATGTGGAAAGCATTTTAAAAATCATACTCACTTGATTCTTACCATTACTTTAAACCAAGCTGAAAAGGACATTTAAACCATTAGAACTGTTTATTAGCGTTATTATTCTCTATCCAGACTGGTAGTATCCATAAAAGTGAATCAAAGTAGTTTTCTGTTACATTCAATTAGCAGTTTTATGTGAAAGGCTGTAACTTTTCCAGAAAAGACCAAATGTTTTCATACTGCTGTTTACTTTTTTTTAAGATTATCACCATCTTTTGGTTTTAGAGTTACAGTCTCTTATGATTTGACCTTCAGTTGGACTGAGCTAGGGCTAAATACTACAGGCAGCAGGTTTAAGTGACAAAACTGGACCCCAAAAAGAAAAAAAAAAAATAAAATTTTCTTTGTGAACAGAAACATCCAAACATACTACATACCAGGTTTAAACAAAGGCAGGCAAATGTGATATTTGCATAAGCAGGTTGATTTTTGCATGTTGTCTCAACAAATGAAACCTCATCCTTTCACTTCTGATCTGGACCACTTTGGTGTGCTCTCAGAACACGTGAAACAAATCAGGTAGAAAAAATGGATTTGGATCATCAAGAAAACAACAAATCCATTTTAAACATAGCTTGTCTGTATAAATATAGCGTTATTACATTGCATTGTTATATGCTGTGGGATCGAACTATCTAATGTCAGATGATGTTGCCAGACATACGTACGTTTGTCAGATGCTGAGAGTATTATTTTATCATTGTAAACGCGTATCCTGGAAAATGTTTAAATTATTTTTAATCAGTTGTTGTACAGAATGTGCATATAATACATGTGAATACATCCACTATGCTGTGAACCAGACTGCTTGTTTTAATGTAGTTTGAAAAGGTTTCTTTAGATCAAATGATCACACTGCTCCTCCATCAGACTAAATGAGCTTGGGTGTATAGTCAGCTCCACAATTATTGGTGCCTGGTAAATAGAAGAAATAGTGTTTAATTAGCACAATCTCACACTGAACATAGTTTAATTTTAATTGAAATTTAGTCTAAGAATTTTGAAAACTCTAGCCTATAAGCACTCCTTGAATTTGTCATGAACAAAACGTAACTAAAATGTGCTCCCATTGCATTTTCTGCAACCTCCCTTTGCCAACATAACAATGAGTTATTATCCTGTAAAGCTTGGTGAGATTGGAGAATACAAAGGAAGGAATCGGAGAGTAGTTTAGTTATTCTCTTTTGAACTCTTCTCTTCAGCTCACCCCTCAGGTTTCCAACAGGGTTTAGGTCAGGGGGCTGCCAAAAGCTTAATTATATGGCTGTTTATGTGTGGATTTGGATGCATGTTTTGGATCATTGTTCTGCTGGAAGATCCAACCAAGAACCAGTTTAAGCTTTTCACAGAGGCACCTACATTTTCGTTTAAAATCTGGTGCTTCATGTAGTCCACGATGCCTAACAAGCCCCAAAACATCACAGAACCATATTTAACAGTGATGATAGGGTTCTTTTCTGAATAATCGTCCTTCTTTTTATGCCAAACCCACCTTGAGTGTTTGTTGGCATGGAGGTAGTGTCTAAAAAGCAGTAAGCCATGAGATGTTGTGTGTTACTGTGAATTATATGCAAAATGTGCTAAACTCCCTTCCCTGTGCTAAAATCACAAGAAACCAGGGCTTTTACTGGCTACTGCTTTTATAAAACAGCAGTAATGTTGAACATAATAAAACACACACATTTTCGATATATAATTTATAATTAATAATAATCACAATAACCTTCAAAGAAATGTAGTTTGTTTAGTGTGCTATTGTTGCAAAGCAATGGACTGATAAAGGAGTGGAAAAACATTGTTACGCATTAGTCATTTCATTAACACTGTCATTTTCATTCAATAATGCAAATAACATAAGCGTTTAATGCAGAAACCTTAAAAAATATGAAAAAAACAAGAAAACAGTTTTTGCTCAACAAATTACTGCCACAACAATAATGCCAATATATAGCTTACAGTGGTTTTCCTGTGTTGGGTTAGCATCAAGCTAACGGTGCCACACATGTTTTCCCACATCAGGTTTAATACTACTTAAGACAGATCTACCAAAAACACAGACATTGAAGTAATATATTCTTCACTTTTTACTAATAATATCATTAATATATCATTTATTATTATTATTATTATTATTATTATTAGTAGTAGTAGTAGTAGTGTATATACTTAAATATAAAAATAATAAAAATTTATATACACTTATTATACACACTTACTGAGCACTCTATTAGGTGCACTTGCATTGTATCTACACTCACTGTCCATTTTATCAGCTCCACTTACCATAGAGGAGCACTCTGTACTTCTACTTGTACAGACTGTAGTCCAACTGTTTCTCTAAACACTTTATTAGCTCCTTTTTGCCCTGTTCTTTAATGGTCAGGACCCCCACAGGACCAACACAGAGCAGGTATTATTTGGGTGGTGGATCTTTCTCAGCACTGCAGTGACCCCGACCTGGTGGTGGTATGTCAGTGTGTGTTGTGCAGATACGAGTGGATCAGACGGCAGTGCAGCTAAAGCAACTGCTCTGGTTGTTTTAAACTTCTTATTTTACCTAATAATGAATATGCGCACTTTCAGGCATGCAGCTATTTTTATAGTCATTGTCTTATTTATGAAGGTCAGCGTGGAGGACTTATAAATGGGAAAATGCTTTTGTTACATTTACATTGTTTCATTTCTAGGGGTGCCAGTAATTGTGACACAGTTTTAGATAAGATTAGATTAGAGTTTTTGTTTTCTTAGCCTAATTTAATGCAAGAGAACGTTACCTTTCTCTCATATTGTAGGGGTGCGACTGAGTTAAATGACCAGAAATTTTTATGACCTTTTTTCTTCCCATCTTTATCGAGGGTGCAATCACTTGTGGAACCGATTGTCTGAAGTATTTGCGTCACTGGACGCCAGAACCAGGAGTCACAGTTCAAGATGATTGATTCTGATGATTTTCAGGATAAGACTGTTTGTTTACATGAATTCCCTGTTTGTACACAGAGAGGTCAATAGTTTCCTGTTTGGCTAATACTGTAGGAGTTAAAATGACCATACAGATAGTAGGTCCAAAACAAGAGGATAGTAAACTTGATCTAGCATACTTTTTATTAAAAATGTTTTAGGATCATTAACTATGTTTATCTCAGTGTATATTATATCAGGTTTGTTTAGCTTATGTGAATTATTACCGATCCTTAGTCTTAGTCTTCTTTTCTGACTGATACAGGCTGTTTTAGACTGTAGGAATTTAAATGGGCTTAGCTGATTTACAGCATAGAAAATAAAATAGGCTTATCTGATTTGGACCGCAGTAAACTCTGTCTAGGTCTAGCTGACTGTAAGAACTTCTGTAGGCCTATTTGATGATACTTTTAGCCAAACTGTGGTTTTGCTGAGATGTGTCAATTCAACATTGATTTCCAGGTAAATCTCACTGGTGTCTCGTCAATAAGCAGACGTGTAAAAAACACAGACTGGACAGGCTGATCTAATGGTTAGTAAAACAGATTAAGGACCGGACCTTGAACAGATGTCTTTTTCAAGTGACTCATCACTCAGTGGTAAAACATGTTCACGACAGTAATCAGTTTCAAGGAACTGACTGACAGAGAACACCTTAGAGACATTATTCTGATAATTCTGTTAATAGAAAAAAACATTGAATCCATGGCTGAAATATGTATTGCTGATCTGTAATTCGGTACAGAATGTTACCCTCCAGCAGCTATTCCTGTATTCTGCTCAGTGCCTCTGTGTGTCTTTTTAGGTATGACTCACCAGTGAGACTTTTCTCAATTCTCAGAGACTGCTGCATCTGAGAAACATGGACCCCAATAAAAGCCAAATTTCTAATGAATAAAAATATCAAACTGTTATAAAATCTTCAAACCTATATTATACCTACACTCACTGGCCATTTTATCTGAAACATGCAAATATACATATTTCAGCCATGGATTCAATGTTTTATTTATATATATATAACCCTGCTGTCAGAAGAAAACATTGTATCTCCTTTTTTTGTCTTGGAAAACTTGGATAAAGGTCTGGTTCCATTGACTTACATTAAAAGTAAAGTAGAATTTTTTTCCTTCTCCTGTAAAGTTATCATTTTGGAGATGCAAGGTTTTTTTTCCAACAACAGTGATATAGCAGAAGTGAACTGAACTTCAATTGGGAAAGAATTCTTTTAAATCTTACTCTACATTTTATTGGTATTCTAAGTGAAAATAAGTTAACACATCCTCCACATCTAGGAAAATGTGGCCTCTCCAAAAGTTACGGCACATTTTTTTTCCTGTGAGACTCAGCAAATAAATATAAATTGTGCAGTAAAATTTGCAGGTCATATTTAAAGTTGCTCTCTGTAGAGGATGTTAACTTATTTTAACTTAGAAAACAAACAAAACATTCAGTTTGACCAGGCTATTGAGCTATGAGCAATTTGTAAGTTTACAGTTACTGACTGTAGCTCATCTGATGCTGCACAATTGATCAGACACACTCTGCCCCATTCATCAGTGGAAATAGACCACAACAGGACCACAACTGATTTGGCTGGTGGACCATTCTCAGCACACCAAGGCGGTAGTGGTGTGGTTAGTTTGTGCTGTGCTAGTATGAGTGTATCAAGCACAGCAGTGTATAAGCAGTAATTCAATCTTTATCAGGGCTTTTAGGCAGCTGAATAATTTACCTTGTGAACTGTCTGTTCTCTTCATGAAAACAAAACAACCCTAAAACCTCAGGATATCTATGCCTCTCTCATCATTATACTGGCTTTTTAACGTTAAGGCGTTTATAGACACTGAGTCGCTCTAATTGCCAGATGGCCTACTGTATTTGTCTGCCAGTTATCTCTGTCCACCATTACCTCCACCACGACCGGGCTTAATGGTGATAAAGTGCTGGCAATCCAAACACTGGAAATGCACTGGGCATGTGAAAGCTGCTTGGCCACTGGAGAGGAAAGTGATGCATCAGAACATCCAGATAGTCCAGCTCCTCTGGGAAGCGTGCTGTAAAACCGACAAGAAGGCTTATAAAAGCAGGAGAGCTCAGGGAGTGGCCCTAATGGCGCCATCCGCTTTTATTCAGGTCTCGTGCTTTGAATGCAGATGGTGTTTGTCTTTAAGGGATAGTTCAGTTCAGGAGAATGCTTAATCTGCTGCTGTACACATTACTGTATCAGCACACTGTTCGGTCCACTAGGATGGATTTTCTCAATGATCTATTTAGAAAGTAAGCATTATATGATAGTAGTAGATGTGGAATGTATGATGGTGATATGCGAAGGCTTTCAGTGTGTTCAGATATGGTGATGTTGGATGAGACCAAAGGAAGTTGGCCAGATATTTTCTTTAGGTGCTGATTACTGCACGTCAGTGAAAAGTGTGAAAATCTGCTATTTGAGGGAAAGTAGATACTTACAGAGTCAGAGTCTTTTCATTAGACGTCTGAGTTTGAATGTCAGTATTTTGAATCTGAATCATTCCATCTGAAATTCTGAACCGAAATTGAATTTTAAGATTAGCTGGGGAGCAATATGAAATCTGAGACTGAATTTTACAGTTCAGCATTGGTTTTACACTTCCATCAGCTGCTTTACACATCACTTTACTGGCTGTTCCGCACCATTTCTGTGAAAAGAAGCGTTATTATATGGCGCACAAGAGATTCAGTGTTTTTGCCTGCAAGACACCCCAGTGTTATTTTGAAAGTTCATTGAAAATATGAATTAATATTAAATCTAAATGCTTCTTAGAAACTAGAATTTCAGGTGTGCAACTTTAATATTCAGTTTCAGA